TCATGAAATGATGGATCTTATCAAAGGCTTTTTCTGCATCTATTGAGATGATCAAGTGGTTTTTGTCTTTGCTTCTGTTAATGTGGTTTATTACGTTTATTGATTTTCGTCATGTTGAACCACCCCTGCATCCCTGGATGAAGCCTACTTGGTCGTGGTGAATAATCTTTTTGATTGTTGGCTGAATTCGTTTGCCATTATTTTGTTGAGGATTTTTGCATCAATGTTCATTAAGGAGATTGGCCTATAGTTCTCCTTTGGAGTGTCTTTGCCTGGTTTTGGGATACGTAATACTGGCTTCATAAAAAATGTGTTTGGCAGTTTTCCTTCCCTTTCTATTTCATGGAACAGTTTAAGGAGGTTGTATCAGTTCTTCTTTAAAGGTCTGATAGAATTCAGCAGAGAATCCATCAGGTCCTGGACTTTCTTTTTGGGGAGACTCTGATTGCTGCTTCAATTTCATTTTGTGTTATAGTCTATTCAGGTGATTAATTTCCTCTTGGTTCAGTTTGGATATCATATGTATCTAGAAATCTGTCCATTTCTTTTAGATTTTCAAATTTATTTGAATATAGTTCTCAAAGTAGTCTCTGTGATTTCCTGGACTTCCATGGTGTTTGTTGTTATCTCCCCTTTTGCATTCCTGATTCTACTAATTTGGTTTTTTCTCTCCTCATTTTAGTCAGGTTTGCCAGGGGTCTATCGATCTTGTTTATTTTTCAAAAACCAACTTTTTGTTTCATTAATTCTTTGTATGGTTTTTTTGTTTTCTATTTCGTTGATTTCAGCTCTATTTTTATTATTTCTCTCCTTCTATTTGTTTTGGGATTTGCTTGTTCTTGTTTTTCTAGGAGTTTGAGATGTATCATTAGGTCATTGATTTGGGATCTTTCAATCTTTTTAATATATGCACTCATGGCTATAAACTTTCCTCTCAAGACTGCCTTAGCTGTGTCCCATAGGTTCTGGTAGGTTGTGTTTTCATTTTCATTGACTTCTAGAACTTTTTAATTTCCTCTTTTATTGCATCGATGATCCATTCTTCATTAAGTATGAGTTATTTAGTTTCCAGCTGTTTGCATTTTTTGTCTTTACTTTTGTTGTTGAGTTCTACTTTACTGCATTGTGGTCAGATAGTATGCACGGTATTATTTCTATTTTCTTATATTTGCTGAGGGCTTGCTTTGTGCCCTAGGATATATCTATTTTGGAGAAGGTTCCATGGGCTGCTGAGAAGAATGTATATTGTGTAGAGGTTGGATGAAATGTTCTGTAGACATCTACTAGGTCCACTTGATCTATTGCATATTTTAGATCTTGGATTTCTTTATTGAGTTTTTGTTTGGATGACCTATCTATTGATGATAATGGAGTGTTAAAGTCTCCCACAACCACTGTGTTGGCGTTTATATATGCTTTTAGGTCTTTCAGGGTATGTTTGATGAAATTGGGTGCGTTGACATTGGGTGCGTACAGATTGATGATTATTATTTCCTTTGGTCTATTTCCCCTTTATTAGTATGGAATGTCCTTCTTTTCTCGTTTGATCAATGTAGGTTTGAAGTCTACTTTGTCAGAGATAAGTATTGCTACTCCTGCTTGTTTTCGGGGGCCATTGGCTTGGTAAATCTTCTTCCAGCCTTTCATCCTAAGCATATGCTTATTTCTGTCGGTGAGATGAGTCTCCTGTAAGCAAACAAATTGTTGGATCTTCTTTTTAATCCATTTTGTCAACGTGTCTTTTGATGGGTGAATTAAGTCCATTAACATTAAGTGTTAGTACTGATAGTATGTGGTTGATTCCTGCCATTTAGTTATCTTAGTTGTTTGAAGTTTGATTGTGTGTACCTAACTTGATGTTACTCTCTACTGTCTTGCTTTTTCTTTTCCTGTGGTTGGTGCTGCCTGCCTTTCATGTTAAGTTGGTGTCACTTTCTGTGTGCAGGATCCCTTGCAGAAATCTTTTGTAATGTGGCTTTGTGGTCACATATTGTTTAGTTTCTGCCTTATCATGGAAGACTTTTATTGCTCCATCTATTTTGAATGATAGCTTTGCTGGGTAGAGTATCCTGGGGTTGAAGTTATTTTCATTCATGCCCGAAGATCTCACCCCACGCTCTTCTTGCTTTTAATGTTTCTGTTGAGAAGTCTGCTGTGATTTTGATGGGTTACCTTTGTATGTTACTTGTTTTTTCTCTCTTGCAGCCTTCAATATTCTTTCCTTAGTTTCTGAACTTGTTGTTTTAATGATGATATGTCGTGGAGTAGTTCTATTTTGATCTGGTCTGTTTGGTGTCCTGGAGGCCTCTTGCATTGTATGGGAATATCTTTCTCTAGATTTGGGAAATTTTCCGTTATTATTTTGTTGAATATATTACGCATTCCCTTCGCTTGCACCTCTTCTCCTTCTTCGACCCATGATTCTCAAGTTTGGTCTTTTTGATGGAGTCAGTGATTCTTGCATTTTCTTTTCACAGGTCTTGAGTTGTTTAATTATAGTTCTTCAGTTTTCCTTTAATTACCATTTCATCTTCAAGTTCTGAGATTCTGTCTTCTGTTTGTTCTATTCTGCTGGATTGGCCTTCCGTTTTGTTTTTGCAGTTCTGTTTCGTTCTTTTTTCTGAGGTTTTCCATATCCTGGCTGTTTTCTTCTTTATGTTGTCTATTTTTGTCCTGAGTTCATTTATCCATTTATTCATTGTGTTCTCTCTTTCACTTTGGTGTTTATACAGTGCTTCTATGGTTTCCTTTATTTCTTCTTTTTGCTTTTCAAATTCTCTATTTTATTTGTCTTGGAATTTCTTGAGTGTCTCCTGTACATTTTGGTTGACCCTATCCAGTATCATCTCTATAAAATTCTCATTGATACTTGTAGTATGTCTTCTTTTAAATTATTCTTGTAGGCTTCATTGGTCCTTTGGCATAGTTTATCTTCATTTTGTTGGAGTCTGGCTCTGAGTTTCTGTTCTCTTCATTCCCCTCTGGTTCCTGTACTATTTTTTGCTGTGGGGAAACTGGTTTCCTGTTTTTTCTGTCTTCCTGTCATTGTCTTTGGTGTTGTTACTGTCCCTGTACTGTGTGTAATTAAGTATTTTCTAGCTTGTAATAATAACAATGGTAATATTGAGAATGGAAGAGTGCTGAGATGGAAAGCAAGAAGTTTAAAGAAAAGGGGAAAACAATATACAGACAAGAGGGAGAAAGCAGAACAAGGTATCAGACAAGAGAGTTTCAAAGGTATAAACAGGGAGTTAGTGTACTAATCGACAGTAAGCTGAACAGACATAGAGGACAGAGAGAGATTGAAAATCAAAGATAAAAAAAATAAAAAATAAGTATATGAAAGTAATATCTATTTATAAAAATGAATTAAAATAAAATGGAAATAGAAAATTAAAAAACAAAAAAAACCAAAAAACCAAAAAATTCCAAGTTTATATGCAATGCAATTTCAGTCTTAATAATTTGGATGTCCGTCTCAATCTCCAGTCCTGGAGTTGGTGCCTCAGATGTTTTCTGTAGTTGTCTCATCAAAGGGGATGCATAAGTAGAACAAAACTACACTCACACCACACAGAAGAAAAAAAAAAAGCCCCACCAAGTGTCCCCAGTTCAATGCAATACAGTTTCCAGTAAGTTTTCGGCTTGCAGGTGTAATTCGGTTGTTCTCTCATCAAAGGTAGGGAGAAGAAAAAAAAAAAGCGTCTGGAGCAGTTCTGAGAGTGGTATCTGCAACTGTGGCTTGCCTGCCTGCTGCTCTCAGCCTGTAGCTGGGCGTTATTTATGCAGATCTCTGGGGTGAGCTTAGCACTCACCTGGTCCCACAGGCTTTGTTTGCTCAGAGTTCTCCTGTGCGGGGAGGGGCCTCTGCTACAGGCTTTCCCTTTCCAAGCACTGGGAAAGGCGACACTGCCCCCGCGTTGTCAGGCCTGCGTGTTTATTTACAGTTCACGTGGGAAGGGTCTTCCCTCCTCTCACAAGCGTCCCCGCTCCTGGTTGCTGGCGCGCCCCGCTCCCGCCAGAGCCTCTCCGGCCCGCCCGGCTCGTTTTTTACAGTCCCGGGAAGGGCCCTTCCCCCAATCTTCAGCGCTCAGGGCGCCCCACCCTCTTTCCAGCGTGTCTTAACTGTTCTTATTGCTTAGTACTCAGTTTCTCTTTTTTTCCCGGGTGGGAGGTCAGTCTGTCCAGGGGGCTATGCTGCTCTGGCCAGGCTTGTCTGTGGGGAACCGCCAGTACCGCGAGCTCACCTGGTCCGCGTCTTCCCAAGCCGTATGGGCGCGGCCACTGGCGGCCCGGGGCCTCCTCGGTTCTCCGTTTAACGTGAAGTGGAGATTCTCTGCGGCCGGCTGGAGATGTGGAGGAGTCAAAGTTATGCCTTTTCTCGTATTATGCCTGCAAAGTGTGTCTCCAGCGTCTCTCCAAGATTTCACTATAGGAGGTCGCTTTCTGTTCCTACCTCTAGCCGCCATCTGGAATCTTCCGGTAGTAGCTTTGACTAATACTTTATAGTGAAGTTGATGGTTTTGGAATAGCTTGTTATTGTGAAGTGAGGGCTTCATTGAATGAAAAAAACAAACCCCATTACAATAGTAGTTCAACTTCTATACTGCTTAAATATAATTTTTTTGTATGTTTTCTGTGTTTACAGTCTACAGTAAATCTGAAGTGAATAGCAGAGCCCAATAGACAATTCATCCTAAGGAAAATTATTTAGGCAGAAATGCTTTGTTTTGTTTGTTTTTGCTTATTTCTGAAGGGTCAATCCTTGTAAAAATACCTGATACGTCTATTCATTTTACAACATCACTCATATTACATGTGTGTGTTTTACGCATGTAGAGCTCAAAGGAATCCAACTTCCTCACTTTTCAGAAAAGCAAGTACTCAATATTTCATATACTTTTGTTACAGAATTTGGACTAGAAGGCCCTTGCCCTTTCAACTACTGTCTTCTGTTATTCTCTATTGAGAATCTGTTTTGCCTTTGGTTTGTCACACAGATGGGCTCAAGCTGCAGATGACCTTCAAATAACATATGAAAATTTAACTGGTGATGTCTTAGTGTCAGCAGGAGTAATAGCCTACCTTGGTGCTTTCACATCTGGCTTTCGACAAACATGTACAAAGATTGGAGCATGTTGTGCAAGGTACTAGTTCTATATTAAGTTTTGTTATAGAACATGCAAAGTACATTTGGGAATATTTGGGGAGAAAGGGAGATAATAAGGACAGAGAAAAAGAAGAAATAAATGAAAATATAGGGTCTTTCTGGTGGTGTTTATTTTCTGCTTTATTGACCAGTAAAATACTTCTACAGTCCAACTTTTAATTCAGGTTTTTCTGATCCTTAGAATTAGTACAATAATACCTAATGACAATTCATACTTTAATTTTTGAAATATTTCAATTAACAATATGAAAGAAAACATCAGATTTTGTTTATTTCTTACAGGAGAAAAAAATTCCATGTTCAGAGGAGTCCTGTTGAGTAGGACGCTGGGCGATCCAGTAAAAATCAGAGTTGGAATATCGCTGGGTTACCAACAGACACATTCTCTGTAGATAATGGAGTAATTGTTAATAACTCTAGGAGATGGTAAGGAGCAGAAAATTTTAATTTTTCCATTATTTTATTTGAAAGTTTTCAAACATATATTAAAAGTGAAAGAATTTTACAAGAAGCACAAGTATAGGTGCCACCTCCTGTATCCCACTGTTAACAATGCATTGTATTTGCTGCTTGTCCACATTAATGTGTCTAGTGTAAGTCCAGGCATTTCAGCATGCATTATTACTGACTAAAGGTCAACATTTGTTGCTTTTCTTTGGAAGTAAAATTTATATACAATGAAATAAAACTTAAATATAACATTTTGTGAGTTCCAAAAAAATTTATATACCTGTGCAACCCAAACATCTCTGAAGGTAGAGGACACAATCACCAGCTGGCCTTTGTGTCCTTTTCACTAAGTCCCTGCCTCACCTCACCCCAGAAATCTTTGTTCTGGTTACTTACCATCAAATGTTAGGTATGCCTGTTCTAGAACTTGCATATAAATGAGTCTCACAGTGTGTGCTCTTCTGTGTAAGGCTTCTACAACTCAGCACACGTTTTTTGAAATTCATCTCAAGCAACTGCATGTTTTGGTACTTTGTTTCCATTTTAGTTGCTGAGTAGTATTCCTTGTATGACTATCACTATTTATGTATCGTCCTATTTAATATAGATCTGGGCTATTTGCCTTGTGCATGCTAGGCAAGCGCTTTACCATTGGAGCCACACCCAAGCCCTTTTTTTGGTGTTTTGTTTTTGAAATAAGGTCTCCCTAAGTTTGCCTGGACTGACTTCAAATTCAAAATCTTCCATCTTTCACCTCCTGAGTAGCTGGTATTATAGGGATGAGACACCATCCCACTACTTTATCCTTTTAACCTTTCCTTTAGTGAGAACTTATGAACTGGTCTGAAAATGACTTTAATTTTCTCCTCAATTTTTAATCAAAATTTATAGATCATTTTCACACAATGGAATTATTGTCACATTTTTATTTAAATATACCATCTGGCTAGTTCTTTGCTATCTCATCTGTTCTTTTTCTACTTTGATTGAGATTAATTGAATATTTTATGGTTTCATTTTTATCTCCATTGTTGGTTTATTGGTTATACACTCCCTATTTTCAGTGTTTGCTCCAGTGTTTATAATATCCAGCTTTAATTTATTACTGAACACTTTCAAGTACTTTCACATTACTATTTATAAATAGGCTAGAGAAGTGGCTTACTGGTAGAACACTGCCTACCATGCACAAAGCCATAAAAAACAAACAAATTCCTAGTATACACATAGCATAAGAACCTTTCAACAGTATATTTTTATTATCTTTCCTATCTATTGTGCTGTTTTATATTTTATTTTCATTTGCTTTTAATTCCAAAACACATTGTTACTATTTATGCCTGAGACAGTAATGTATCTTTTAGACTGATTAAAATATAAGAAAAAAAGTCTTCTATATTTACCTTCATCCTCCCCATTTTTAAACTTTTTGATTTCTTAATTTTTATTTTTGGATCTTTTCATTTCTTTATGTTTCTGTCTTGTTTCATATTTCTTTTGCCTGAAGAATGTCTTTAACACTTACTGAGTTCAAATATGCTAAAAATAAATTCATTCAGCATTTTTGAAAAATATTTATTTCATCTTCATTTTGGAAAGGATTTTCTCTGAGTTTAGAATTCTGGGTTTACAGTTGTTTTAGCTTTTGTTTTTATCATTTGTTTGTTTCCTTTAAAATGTCAGCCCATTGCTTCTGGCTTGCATAGTCTGATGAAAAATCTGTAAATCTTATTTTAGTTCCTTTTTACATAAAGTGTCTTTTTACCCCCCTCTGGCAACCTTCAAATTTTTCTTTATCTTTAGTTTTCAGCAACTTGATGTGTCCAGGTGTGTAGTCACATGTGTGTGTGTTTACATCTTGATATTTATCCTGATTGAAGTTCTCTGAGCTTCTAAGATCTACCTCATTGTTTCCTTCTCTTTCTTGGATATGTTGTCACATTTGTAAGTTCTGTTTTGTACAATCCCATCATAAAGCTCTGATCTGCTTTTACCATTCACCACTCTTTTCCTTTTTGTGTTTCAATCTAGATAATTTCTGTTAAGTTATCTTCAAATTAATAACTTATATTAGCTGTCTCCTCAGTTGTGTTAGTCTCCTTCGAGTCCATGAAAAGAATTGTGTCTGATATCCTATTTTTTATTTCTAGTATTTCCACTCAATTCTTTCCATCTTTCTGCTGGTGATCATCTTCAGGTATGCTGCCCACCTTTTCTACTAACTCTTTTAACTTTTAATCATAGTTATTTTTAAAATGCCTGTCTGATATTTTCAACATTTGTGTCATCCCTCAATATGTTTCTGTTGGCTTCTTTGTCCATTGAGAATATTTGGAATGTTTCTTGCTTATTTAAGTTTCATATAACATTTGACTAAATGCCATAGATCATGAGTCTAACAATAGAGACTGAGCTAAATGGCATTTACTCCTGGAAGTGGACGTGCTTCTTTATCATACCACCAGTGCAGAAGCTTGATTCGGGGTCATCACGAAAAGAGCTAGGTTTGGGTTTTCTTGTTGCTCTGGTAAATTGCAGGAAATTAGAAGTTTCAAATTCATATAGTTACAGGTCCAAACAGAATAGGGGCTGGAGTTCTGAAGTATTTTCTCAGTATTAGAGTTTTACCTTCAGCTTTCAACCATTCCTGTATGTCCTTGCCACGGAGAGTGGTGGGGTCTCTCTCTCTACTTATACTTCCCATAAAGGTAGGTTGCTGTTGCCTGGTACTCTGGGTTAGGCTTATGTTGGACAAGGGTGGAGGTTCTCTATTATTCTGCATCATACTCAGTTTTAGGAAGGCCCTGGGCACATGGGCCATGGAGCAGACTTTTTCAGGCTTCCTGCCCTTCCTTCCTATGACAGCTAAATTCTGCCTCTGGCTATGGTTGGTTCATAAGCAGTTGTTTCCTACCCCTCTCATAGGAATAAGTCATTATTTGGTAAATATTGATAAGTTATGATAAGTTTGGGGCCAGATATTTTCCTGCCTCTATCCCAGGGTTTGAGGATTGGTTTTTGTTTTGGTCTTGGTTTGGTTTGTTGTTGTTGTTTTTTTTTTTTTTTTTTTTTTTTTGGTTTTGACCTTTCTTTTAGCTACAATTTGTATTTTGCTTCCAGGATTCCTAGGAGTATTGTTGGCCAAATTATATATCAATTTTCCAGCTCAAGAGTTTCCTCAGTCACACATATAATATGAATTTATACACTAAACCTTTTTGAGTATAAACCCATAGCTACAGATCCTCAAGGGACACTACCAGCCAGAGGGAAGATAGGAATCAAAACATTTCATTCTTACCTCCTTATGTGTAGGCTTGAACCAATACCATCTATTAAAATTGCCATGATGACAATGTTGGAGAGAGCATAGCTCATAGGTTCACAAGATCCTATTTCTTCAAGTAGGTGTTTGGGATCTTGGGGTCCTGGACAGTATACTCCCTGAAACTAAATCTCTTCATTTGAAAAATAAATGGGAATACAATTCCTTTTCACTTTTTTCTCTCAGGACTTTTCTGAAGATTAATCTTGATTTTATATTTATATATATATATATATATATATATACACACACACATGTATAAAATACTTTGTGCAGAATGGTAGTGATATTTATTATTTAAATTACATATTTTAAGCAATCTTGACATTTGTTTATTCTCTTAGAATTTTGTTCTTTTATTTCTAGGCCTTTAATGATTGATCCCAGGGTCAAGCCAATAAGTGGATCAAAAACTCTGAGAAAGAAAATCAGCTTAGTGTAATTAAGCTATCAGATTCAGACTATATGAGAACATTGGAAAACTGTATTCAGTTTGGAATTCCACTTCTACTAGAAAATGTTGGCGAAGAACTGGATCCATCTTTGGAACCTTTACTACTTAGACAAACTTTTAAACAAGGTAGATGGCAGTTAATATTGGTTGGCAGAACTGAAAGATGACTGGATTTTTTGTTTGTTTTTTGGGACTGGGGTTTGAATTTAGGACTTTGCACTTGCAAAGCAGGCACTCTACTTCTTGAACCACAGCTCCAGTCCAATTGGATTATTTTTGAGTATTGAAAGAAAATCACTACATAAACTTAATAATGCTAATAACTCAAAGCTTCTGTGTCATTGTTTTGAATGAAAAGAAATTTACAACAAGCTATCATGAATGAACCTTGGTTGAGTATTCTAAGATAATTATCTCACCCTTTCTTCTTTACCCTAATCACTGTTATCTAGACTCCTGTTCTATGGAAAGTGTGAAATATATCTTGTGACTATCGTCCACACAGATCCATTTCTATGAATAGAGATGGTGAATGTAGGCCAGACTTGAGTTTAGGCAAACATTTCCGACCATGTATCTTTCTGCTTATGAAAATTTTATCTCTGCCAAGTGGCCAAGTGCTAGTTCCTTTAAAAACTTTAGTTATATACAGATATTTTGGAATCATTGTTGAAATTTGATGGAGGAAGGAACTCAGAAGAAATCTGATTTATAAAACTCCATGACAACCACAGAAAATATCCTATAGTACTCCAGAATGAATCCTACTACATAGTTGCATACTTGCCTCTGTGTCTGTGACTTTTGTCACAACTGTTTTCTATTTCAAATTTCTTTAGAATTTTATTTGTAACCTAGGCAAGGCCTTAGAAGTACATAGGGGGATGGCTATGGAACTTTGGCTCATTTATTGTACATTTGTTTTCTTTAATACAGGTGGCATTGATTGCATCAGACTTGGTGAGGTTATTATTGAATATTCTTTTGATTTCAAATTTTATATCACCACAAAGCTAAGAAATCCACACTATATGCCAGAGCTGGCTACAAAACTGTCTTTGCTCAATTTTATGATAACTCCAGAAGGACTTGAAGATCAGTTACTAGGTATTGTTGTTGCAAAGGAGAGGTACGTATTTTCTTAAATGCTTGTAGATGGATGGTCTAGACACAAATATTAGTAGGCCATTAATATTTTTGTGATTATTTGAAATTGCTAAACTTTATTATTGCAATTAAAATAATTATGTAATCCTTTAAAATAGCCAGTTAGTAATAAGTAAATTATAAGCCAACCATGTAATATTGGGGTTCTAGTATGGGAGTCAGATTACATGCATGACTTCTGACTTGTTCTGATTGAGGCAGAAATTCTACCTGGGAAATTATGCCTTGGATATAATCATAAATGTTTTCAAAGCCTTGTTACTGAATGTTAATGAAGTTAGAAGATGTTTGAGATAAGAAGGAAAAAGCCTACTACATATGTATAAGTAATATGTTGTTTTAAAATTTGATGGGTGTGTCTGGCGGAGTGGTTCAAGTGCCTGCCAGCATGTGTGAAGCCCTGAGTTCAAACCCCAGTATCACCAAAAAAAAAAAAAAAGATGGGTAGATATCTGTATATATATATAAAAAGATTATGGATGGACATCTATATATACAAAAAGAAAAAAAAAGATTGGGAAGGAATATTCCTTGTTGCTAACAGTAATTATTCCTGGTGTGGTAAGACTATGAGTAATTTTTGTTTTCTCCATACTTTTTATATTATTCATTTACTTCTATGTGTGGGGGTTGTTGTTTGTTTGTTTTTGCAGTGCTGGGGTTTACACTCAGAGCCTTATGCTTGCTAGGCAGGTACTCTACCACTTGAGTCACTTCACCAACCATAATAGGTGCTATTTTTTTTAATGAGAAAAAATATAATACCTAGAGATGCTACAGTAAAGAATTGCTTCTGTGAGGAAGTCTTTGATTCCACTTAAAACTTTTTTTTAAATGTAAAGCAGAAGAGTTTATTGAGATAGAAAAGAGTAAAGTGGGAGAGTAGAGTCCCCAGGGATGGGGTCCACTTGAAACTTAATGTTGCATTATCAAATGTTGTTACATTAAATCAAAATAAAAGTGAAAGTATGCAACTGTAAGGTAGTTTTGTTACTTTCAATATTTCATTTGTGTTGTATCTAAGGTAGAACCTGCATAAGATTTTCTATAACATGGTGGGTTGTGTAATTTTGAAGTTTTATCCCATCATTATTTATTAAGACAGAGACATCAATTTTCTTTCACCTAAAAAGCCAGTTGTGTGACCAGTCATCCTTTCTGTTTCCTGTTATAGAAGAAATGATGAAAATGAAAGTTGATGACAAAGCAAGGAACAGATAAAAATAATTTCTTACCCTGAGTCTGTTCTCTCATTCTTATTCTCACATAATTTACTATGCCACAAGAATAAATCAAATATATCCTTAGATTTAATGGCATATGTTATCATCACATTTTACATATATAAGTAAAGCTTTTTTTGCTTAAATTTCTCATATTATTTAGATGCAAATATTTTCCTTAAGTTACAATTAAGAAATCAATCACTTTAGTTTATGTCATGTCTTTAAAATTATTTAAATGTCCACAAAATTTTGATAAATTTAGACTAAATGTTTCTATCTTTTTAGACCAGAATTAGAAGAGGAACGGAATGCTCTTATTCTTCAGTCTGCAGCTAATAAGAAACAGCTAAAAGAAATAGAGACAAAAATTTTAGAAACATTATCATCTTCAGAAGGGAATATTTTAGAAGATGAAAGTGCAATTAAAGTGTTAGACTCTGCCAAAATAATGTCCAATGAGATAACAAAGAAACAGCAGGTGAGAAAAGAATTCTAGAAGTGTTTTGATTCTAAGATTTAACTTGCTTCCAGTCTCTGAGGAAAATGCTATGATAGGCTTCCTAGGAAAGAAAAAGAATTGATAAACTATGAAAACATAGGAACTAATTTTAAACTCATAAAACAATATCTTCTTCTTTGAATTATTCAAAAATTGGTCCAACCTATATGGTATATATAAATAGCATATAAAAATAAATTTAGAAGATTTTTTAAATGTATTTGTTATTTTGGATAAGAAAAACAGACTAGGTCACCTAAAAATTGAATTTGAGAACTTGTCTTTCCTCTGTTAGTGGTTGGAGTTTGAGGTGTGTGGAAGTAGTTTCTGGTTGACTGCACAGCAGATGGTTCTAGGAACCAATGGGGTTGTTCCTCTGACTTTAACTCATCATATGTACATCGGGAAGATAGATATGAGAGATGCCAGTAGCAGGTGGAAGAAGGGAGGCAAGAAGTCTACAGCCAATAACATAGTTATTACGAATTCACCTAACTCGACCAAATGCTGTTTTTATATTCTGTTTTTATAAAATCATACAGTGTTGTATGTGGAAGAGACCTTAGCTAGCAGGTCTCTTTTGCACTTCTTTTTGACCCTATTTTTTAATCTTGGTGTTTCTCTTCTCCTAGATTGCAGAAAAAACAGAACTTAAAATAGCAGAGTCTCGAGAAGGCTATAGACCCATTGCTAAGCATTCATCAGTATTGTTCTTTAGCATTGCAGACCTGGCTAACATTGATCCCATGTACCAGTACTCTCTCATCTGGTTTGTGAACCTTTATATCAACTCTATTCATGACAGGTAAGCATTCTATAGTTGAAATACTTAGAGATTCATAAGAAGTTACACACCATAAAAAATGTACCCTTCACTCACTTTCTCCAGTGGTAATAACTTGCATAACTATAGCACAATATTGCAACCAAGAAATTGACATTGGTATAATCCAGAGAGCTTATTCAGATTTCACCAGTTTTACATTCACACGTGTGTAAATTGAAATGTTTTTAATAGTGAATACTTTGATAACATAAAAAGCTTATTTGTTAATTCATGTTACTTATTTTTCTTAGTTTTGTTTGACAATATATTTTCTTTTTTTTAACCTTTTAGTAATAAATCCAAAATTTTGGAAAAGCGCCTACGATATTTAAATGATCACTTCACATACAACTTATACTGTAACATATGCCGATCACTATTTGAGAAGGACAAGCTATTATTTTCCTTTTTACTATGTGCTAATCTTCTTCTGTAAGTTACTTGCTTTTTCTTAATTTACTTATTTTAAAAACCTAACTTGAAAATCTAATCTATAAAGATGGCTTCTCGCAGAAGAATATAATATTTTGTTTGGTTTAATTCGTGATTTTACTGTTAACCGTGGTTTCTACAACAGTATTGGTGTTCTTATGTTTATATGGTTTTTTAAATTTTTGTAAAAGTTCACAAAAATGTAACGTACAGCTCAATAAATTCTTACAAAGGGGAAATTGGTCAAGAAGTAAAACACTCCCAGCATCCCCAAAGCACTTCTCTGTGCTCTACCCTTTCACTCTGCCTAAAGTAGCTGCCATCCTCACCTCGAATACACACTTTACTTTTGTTTATATAGAAGCAAAATCAAATAATATGTGTTATTTTATTTGGCTATTCCTCAACATCATTTTATGAGATTTATCCATATAGTTTAATCATTTGTTTGTGTTTTTATTGCTTTATAGTATTCCGTTAAAGAATACATTAAAGTTTATCTATTCTCTTCTTTTTTTCCTTTTTGGCAGTACTCAGTTGAACTCAGGATCTTGTCCTTGCTAGGCAAGTGCTCTACCATTTATCTGTTCTACTCTTGATGAAGATTTGAGTTGTTTCCAACTTGCAATCATTATAAATTATAGAGCTGTGAGCATTGTTGTATGTAGCTCTTGGTGCACATGGGCACACATTTCTTTTAGGAAGATACCTAGAAAGAAATGTGTAACCTATTTTCTAGAACTGTTGTACTATCTTACATCCTATTAACAGTTCAAGCATTCCATTGTTCTAAATCTACACCAACATTTCAAATTAACATTGTTTTTGACACATGGTCTCACTCTGTAGCTCAGACTGGGCTTGAACTCATTGTCCTCATGCCTCAGTTTCCTGAATACTGGGATTATAGGCATGCACCACGTATTACCATTTTAAAAGTACATTTTGGTATGTAATAAATATTACTGCATCATGGGACCCAGTGTCTGCTGCTGAGAGAGTTCTCGGGCTCTTAGCTTTGGCATTTGTGTGATTTCCACTGGCTGCAAAACCATAGAGAAGAGGGAGGGGGTGGGGGAAGGGGGGGAGTAATGACTTAATCATTATATGCACATATGAATAAAGGAAATTTAAAAAAAAAGCCATAGAGAGGACACTTGGACATGTCAGAAGTAGAAAATGGAGTCAGTGACTTTTAAAGATGTGGCTGTGAATTTCACCCTGGAGGAGTGGGCTTTGCTGGGTCCTTCCTAAAAAAGCTTCACAGGAAAGTGATGCAGTAACCTTTAGAAACCTGGCTTCTTCTGTAGAGTCTACATTTTAGGGAAAAAGCAAGACGATTCTAAAATTGAAGATGACTACAAAACTTATCAAGTGGTTCAGAGCCATTGTGAACCTAAAGAAGGTAGCCAATGTGGAGAAACCTTCAAGCAGATTCCAGTTACAATTGTGAACAAGACAGCTCTTCCTGGCGTAAAATCATATGAAAGCCAAAGCCATGTGTGTAGAGAAATCCTCACTGGTCATTCATCTCTAAATAATGTATCTCGGTGTTCATACTGAACACAAACCTGATAAACACTGGAAATTTAAAGAAAAGATGTATAAATGTAGGAAATGTGGTAAAGGTTTATCCCAGTTTGCTTCAATATCATGAAAGGGTTCACACAGGAGAAAAACTCTGTGTATGTAAGCAACATGAGAAAGCAATCACAAAATCCTGTAACCTGCCACAAACATGAAAGAACTCATACTGGAGAAAAGCCCTGTGAGTGTAAGAAATGTGGTAAAGGTTTCATTTATCACATTTCCCTTAGGTCCCAAATGGAGTCACAATAGATGAAGTAGAGAGAAGCCCTGTGCTTATCAGCAATGTGGGAAAGCCTTGACTCACTCAGGTAACTTGTACAGACATGCAATGGCTCTTATTGCAGAAAAATCCTATAGATGTAAGCATCGTGATAAAGGTTTCCCTTCGAGCCCATGAATGGATTCACAGTGGCGAGAAACCCTGTGTATGTGAGCAATGCTGAAAAGCCTTCACTCTGTCCAGTCATGAGCATGGACATAATATGACTCTCACTGGAAAGAAGCCCTGTGGATATAAGAGATGTAATAAAGCCTTGACAGTTTTTAGTTCTCTTCAGAAACATGAAAGAACTCACATTGGAGAGATTTCTTTAATAGCGAATATGGGAATGCTTCAGTACCATATGACCTTTCTAGCAAACCTGACAGTGCATAGGAAAGAGTGGTAGTATCAATGTGAAGTGCATGGGAACACTTCCAGTCATCTGGATTGAATTGACATACACAAGGGTGCATATTATGGCAAGATATTCTGAATAGAAGGAGGTGTGCAAAAGTCTTTAGTTGACTCACACCTCAGAATGTGCCCACGATCAAAATCTTGTCAACGTAGAAAACAGAACCAAGGTGTCAGTTGGAACAAGCACTTTCAACCTCCTGTGAAAATTCATAATGTACTGGAACCTATGAATATAAGTCTTATGAAGAGTTTGACATGCAATAATTTGTATAGAATGCTCCAGAAATTACCTGAAAGAAATCCGCTAGATGTTAGAAATAAATTGCTTTTGACCATGACTCATACTTATTTCTGGACCATGTATTTCTAATTTTCACTCTTTTTTCTCTTGGGGTGCAGGGGTTTGAACTCAGGACCATGTGCTTACTCTCTCCCCTGAGTTAAGACCCCCACCCCACTTCACTTTAGATATTTTTTGGATTCAGTAACACCTGTGTCCAGAGCCGGTGTTGGACTTTGATCCTCTTCTGTATGCCTCCCTTGTAGCTTAGCTTATAGTTCATGCCACCACTCCTAGCCTATTTGGGTTTTTTGGAAATTTTGTTTTGTTTTTTGGTGATATTGGGGTTTGAACTCAGGGCTGCATGCTTGCTAGGCAGACATTCTACCACTTGAGTCAGACTCCAGCCCTGACCTAGTTGTTGACATGAGGTCTGTCTACCATTTTTGCAGTGACTGGTTGAGAAACATGATCTCTGCCCCCTGGTTGTTAAGATTATTGGGTTCTCCATCGTGCAGTGTCCTAATTTTCACCCTTGAAAATAAGCATCGAGGTGTTGAGATTAATAGGTAGTATCCTTTTTTATCATTAATTAATTTTTCTCCTTTCATTTGGAACCATCATGAATCCATGCATGAATTTAAATGTATTTGTAATAGCCCATGAAGCCTAATTTGTAAATGTTTTTTTAAATAAGTTTATTTGAAGGGCCACTGAAACATTGAGTTTAACGAATTGTTGGAATTTTCTCCTTACCTCATATGGCAGGTTCTTTTTATATTTTTACCGCATCCTTTTTTTGGGGGTCTCAAATGATATTTTAAAGGTAGATTTTATATTTTTAATTTCTGGATGTATATTTTCTTCAAAAGCTTTTTGTTCATTTTGTAAAGAGTGTCTTAGTTTTTTTAGCCAACTTATTGATGAACAAATGTTACCATTTTCATTTACTGATATCTGCAAGTATCCCATCTTACTCATGAATAAGACCAAGAATACTTTTTGTCAAATAAAGTATAATGGATGTGATACATTTAAAAAAAAAAAAAACAAACCTGAGACTGCTCGTTAACTTTGCTGAAAACAGGGGCATCTTTCTTCTGAAGTCAGCATTATATTGAGGAAAGCTTATGCATCAGCCCAAGTAGGTGGCAAAAATGCTAATAAAGAGCTCTACCATCTTTTGGTGAGCCTCATGACATGAAGGGTTAGAGTTTTTCCAGTTTAACAGTTCAGAAGTAGACTATGGAGCGTAACTCTAATAGCAGCCCATTGGTTGCACCTGGTCATTTAGCCCACCTGTGGGATATTGTCTCTATGGGAATTTTCCTGCCCCACTTGGGTACATTCAGACCAACTTGGGTCCTCTAATGGGTCTAAGGGAAACACCATTTCAGACTCACCACCACATCAGGGAGGTCGCTGCCTGATGCTCTGGCATCTCCTTTGGCTAGAAGAGGAGCCAGCTAAGTGTATGAAAAGGGGTGCAGGATCTATTGGAAATGGGGAGCTTCAGAATTCAAAATAGTTAGCAATGTTCTTTCCTCCCTTTCAGCCTCTTCCTCATCATCCTGCAGGGGTTTCTTTACTTTTTGGGGAAGTGGGTGGCATTGGGGTTTGAACTCGGCCACACGCTTTGATCTACCCCACCAGCCCTTTTTTTGTGATGGGTTTTTTTGGTGATAGAGTCTCTAGGATTATTTTCCAATGGCTGGCTTAAACCATGATCCTCCTGATGTCTGCCTCCTGAATAGTTAGGATTAGGGGCGTAAGCCACCAGCCTGCAGGGATTTTAGCTTCAATGTTTGGGATCTTTGCATGATGAATTTGGTTCCTTCCTTAGAGGCATTTTGATTATGCAAAAACCATAAAAGATTGAACATATGGAATCTCTTCCCACCTTTCCAGTTTTTGACAAAACAATTCCAACTGTAAGATAGTGTGGAAATTCAATGACTCATTTTTGGGCCACTTCTCCTTTGCATCTAGTACATACTTAGGGCATATGGTATTGCAATAATACATCTTTTTCTTATTCATAGGTTTTATAGCTATATAATCTATATAAGCCAGGAATCTAAAATTCTCCCTAGAGGGCTCCATGGTAGTACAAACTCAGTATTTCCCATGGTTACACAATTTACAATACAGATATTCCAAACACACTGGTTCCCGTATCTTGTGTCTCTTCTTTATTATTTGATCCTGCAGAATTTCAAGTTTTCCTGTCAAAAAACAAGTGGCCTGGGCTAGGTGCATGGCTCAAGCAGTAGAGCATCTGCCTAGCAAGTACAAAGCCCTGAGTTCAAACCCCAGTACACAAAAACAAAAGAAAATGGCTAGAGTCATGGCTCAAGTGGTAGAGGGCTTGCCTAGCAAGTTTGAGGCCCTGATTTCAAACTCTAGTGCCACCCCCTAAAAAAAAGAAGAAAAAGAAAACTAGTGGCCTAAGCCCATAGCTCCCAAAACCTCAAATAACAGAACAACAAGACAATAACCACAGAATTTCAAATTTCTTGTCAAAACAAATGACCTGTTCAAATGTCAAGAAAAGCAAAGTCCAATATTCACTACTGGAGAGGACTTGCCAAGGATCCTACTCAAAAGGCTTCTAAACTCACTCTTTCTCAAATTCACTGAATAGTGGTAAAAAGCAATTCATACTGGCTGAAGTGGAAAGAATAAAAAAGTCCCTGGAATAAAGGCAACTCCAGAAGCTGTGTAGGACTCTTGGATCTCTCCCCTTTTTCTAGGGTCAACTTGCTACAAGTGGCTTACTTGCAGAAGGCGTATTTTCTCTTGGCATGACTCATCAAAGTTGAAACCAGAGTTTAGGGGTAAAAAGCCAGGAGTTCCAACCAGATGAGGCTTGGCCACCAGTCCTATCCCAATGTGCCAATTAAAAACACAAACAATGGTTAATGACAGAAAAAGGCAATTTTATGAAATACAGCCACTGGGGAATATGGACAATGGGATTTAGTGACTCCAATATCATCTTTGGGATACTGACATAAATTTTAGGCTTACGTAGAAAAGGAGTTTGGAGGCAGAGGTGAGAGTTCCATGTAACTCTGGCTGTCAAGAATTCATCTCTCCCAGCACCTTGGATCTCAGAGAGCTAATTAGGTTTTAGATCCCCATTCTTTGCCTGGCTTCCTGGAGTTTTGCCCTACTTAAGCAGGCATTAGTACTTATCAATAGAATCAAGAGGGTATCAATGCAACTTTCTAGACCCTCTTTTTCCATTCGTTTCCCCCTTTTGGGTATTCTGCCTACAAATTTCAGCTACCTCTGCCCTCCTTAATTCTAATCTCTGCCTCTTCAACTCAATGATACTACCAAGTTTTGATTTTTTACCACCTCTGCTCTGCAGTCTGGAAAGTACCAGAAGGCAGATAGCTGAGGCAATCCTAGGAATCACCTCATTTGTCTCTCTTCTCTCAACGGCCACAGTTCTGCACTGGCTGTTGTACAGTTTCCCAAAACAGTTGTTTCATTAATTTTGTCCAATTTTCTACTTGTTTATAGCAGGAAATTAAGTACAGTCCTGAATATTCCATCTAGATTTTAATGTAGGTCAATTTGAAAATCAACAGTTTACAGCAGCTCTTATATTTTGGGACTATAGGGCAAGGAAAGAGATTGAATACCAGGAACTGATGTTTCTTTTAACGGGAGGAGTGAGCCTTAAGAGTGCTGAGAAAAATCCTGATCCAACTTGGCTACAGGATAAAAGCTGGGAGGAAATTTGTAGAGCAAGTGAATTTTCTGCTTTCAAAGGACTCAGGTAATTGTTTACATTTAATGATTTAACACTGCATATTGATGGGTAAATTTGAAATCTAGTGGATTTTTTCATTTTTCTTTCTAGTTTATTGGTTAGGAGAAAGATGACCTTTTTAACACTTTGTATAAACACTTCACAGACTGCAGTGCCATTACAAAAAGTCAAAGCAAATTTTCTTTGACTCTGGGCCCTTGAACTTAACATTCAAGTCTTCACAATAGGAACAGGAGTGGCTATACCATACATTCTCCAAGGTGCCCCAACAAAGGCATGTTAATGTTGCTTAAAATTTCCTGCATTTAGTAAAGTACCATCTTTCTTTCAAATGTCTATGAATGATAATAAAGGGAAAATCACAGAGATCTACTGTTTACAGTGATTTTTAGAAGGCTGAATTTAAAGATCCAAACTCTAGCCTTAAATCTTTTTGTAGCAACTGAGAAATGACCTCCCTATTCCTCTCAATCCCATCTGGCTTTCTCAGGTACAGATGCACATCTTTCTAGGACCCCAGCACTCTGACTACTCAGTCTTGGCAATCTCATCATTAGACTTTTTCAAAGGACTTTTGGTTAAAAAAAAAAAAGCTTTAATTTATTTATTTCCATTTTCATAAAACTTTAGTCCTTAACAAAAGTCATTTTTATTTTTTTTTTAAAAATGAGAGGGAAAGAAATATTTTAAGGAATTTAACAGGTAAAGGAAATAGGTATCTTTTATGAAAAGGCCTTTCTGTAAGCAAATAATTATTTAGCTGAAATAACCTTACTGAAGTGTTTCCAGATAAAATACTCAGTACCTTGTCCCCTAACAGCCACATGGATAGGATCTGTGTCCACTGAACATCACTTAAAATGCCCTCACTAAAAATAGAAATAAGCTACTGTTTACTCCTTTAAGTCAAACCACATTCCTCCAGGCCTACACTCTGCGGAATTAGCTATAGGAAAAATAGTAAGGTTCTGCCATATGGCCAGGAACAACTCCAATGCTCCCTGGAAAACCCTAAGCCAAGAAGAGGAGACCACACTGGGAATATCAGCATTGAAAGTGGGGTTTAGGAGAGGTATGCTTCTGAGCAGATGGGCATTGTAGAGGCCAGATTTTTGTATAGCAGTCATAGCCTAACTCCACTAGGACTCCTCCTTTCTTGTGCATCTGCAGGAACAGGTAGGTGCTCTCTTTCATGAGACCTTTGTACTGCCTTATATGCTTAGTGGCCTTCAGGTCCCAGAGCTTGATCTTTCCAGCCATGTTTGATGCCGTCAGGTATTGCTAATCTTGGAAGATTCATAAAGTCACTTCTGTGTTGTGGAATAGGTGAATGGTCTTCCAGCCCTTGCCTTCATTTTACAATGCAGATAAGTGGCAGAGATCTCCCCAGAATTATAGCCATTAAACAGCAAAGCAGTCATGAGAGCAACAGTGGCCCACCACCACATCAACAGGACCTGCTGAAGACAAGCTTGTACTGAAGCAGTTATTTGCCTAGATGTTTGGACTCTACATATAAGACCAGAGATCTGGAAACTGTAGAGTATGCCAAGCTGGTCTGCACCTGGGAGCTTCCTGATGAACAGTGATGCTAGGAACACAGTGGTACAGCCTAGAGTCTCTGCAGGTCTCATGAGGTATAACAGAGCATGGGAATCCAAGTGATCTGCTAGGGCCCAACACACAGAATTCATCTTCCAGTTGTTGAAGTACAGGCTTCTGTGTATGTTAGAGTGTGGGAGTCTTCAGGCAGCTGATGATGCTGTTTTTGGAGTTTTGAACTTTGACATCCCTCACTGTGAAGACTGGTCACAGTTGGTAAGAGGTTAAGTCAGTCACTTGACAGAGCACAGGGATCTGTGCAGTTCACTCACAGTTCATGGACCAAATGCCAGTCATTGGTGATGTTGAGAAAACTCATCTGGCTTTTCTGTAGGAAGGAAGATACAATAAATCCCATCCTGGTTATTTTCTTTTTTGTGCTTGCCCTCCACTCTGAAGCTGCAATCCTCTACTCTCCATTTCCATTTGCCAGATGTTCCCCTTTGTGAAAGTTACAGTTGTGTGTACAGGAAACAAGCAAAAGTAACATTTCTTTTCAGGGTAAAAATAATACCATGGTAAATCTGGCATGAAAGAAATACCACCTGTACTGGATAAAGTCAAAGGAGATTTGTCATCACTGTCCAGAGTATGAAAGGCTCTGTGGACCTGTGTTACAACTCTGTTTAGAATTGTCTAAACCAGGGGTTCTTTTAGTGGCTTCCCCCACTTCTACTCTGCCAATGCTTTTATTCATTTCTACTCCTTGTTAGAAGGTACTTCTGTCTCCCCCTCAAGAACAGCTCCTATAATTTTTAAATGGCCCTGTGGTTGTGTTGTTTCTTCCCCTTGCTCAACAATCTCTTTAAAAATATTTCACAAATGAAAGTAATAACTGTTAAACTTTTTTCCTGTTAGAGAGCATTTTTGTGAACATATAAATGAATGGCGAGAAATCTATGACAGTAAAGAGCCTCATAATGTGAAATTTCCAGAACCAATGGATAAGAATCTAAATGAACTACAGAAAATAATAATTCTTCGGTGTTTAAGACCTGATAAGGTAAAAGACAAATGTATTCTATTTGGAATCAAAATTATTTGCCCTTTATGACGTACCAGTCTTAAAGATACAATGCTGCATGATGACTTTTTGGTCAATGATGAACCTCATAACAACAAAAGCTCCTTATGATTTTAAGACAGCTAAATTCCTATCACAGTGATATCGCACCCATCAAACATCAGAGGGCAACCCGTTACTCTTGTCTTTGCGTTGGTATTGGTGTAAATAAACCTGCAGAACAGGCAGTCATATAACAGTATAGCACATACAATTATGTATAGTAATAAAATACCTGATGATGTTGATAAATAACTGATACAGTTTTATTTCTTTACTATAGGGTACTTTAAATCATTATTTTAGAATATACCCCTCCTTATTTTAAAAAAAAAAAGTTAACTATGAGACAGGCTGAGGCAGGTCCTTTAGGAGGGATTCCAGAAGAAGACATGCTATCATAGGAGATGGCAGCACCAAGAATGTATCACCCTCTAAAGACCTTCCAGTGGGATAAAACATGGAGATGGAAGACATTGATTTTTGATGGTCCTGATGCAGTGTACACCGAGGCTAATGTGTGTGTTTGTGTCTTAGTTTTTAACAAAACAGTTTAAAAAATGAAAAGCATTAACATTTTTAAAATAGAAAAAATATAGAATTAGGATAGAAAGTAGTTTTACAGTTGTGCAATGTGTTTGTGTTTTAAGCTAAGTGTTAAAAAGTTAAAATTTTTAAAGTTTATGATGTAAATAAGCTATAGTAAGCTAAGGTTAATTTATTATTGAAGAAGGAAAAAAATGTGTGAATTTAGTATAGACTTAGTGTATAGTGTTTATGAAGTCAACAGCAGTATCAGTAATGTCCTGCGTCTTCACCTTACTCACTACTCTGCATCAGAGCAATTACCAGTTGTTTAAGATCTACTCATGGTAAGTACCCTATATAGGTGTGCTGTTTTCTGTCTTTTATACCATATTTTTACTATTTATTTTCTGTTTAAGTACTTAACATTGTTTTATAATTGCCTAAAGTATTCAGTACAGTCTATGTTGTACAAGTTTATAACATAGGAGCAATAGTTTATACAGAGTAGCCTGTATTAGGCTATACCATCTAGGTTTCTGTATACACTGATGTTCTCACAGTAAGAAATCAACTAATGATGCATTCTTCAGAACAAATCCAGCTTACTAATCAATGTGTAAGTGTATTATTATTTGCTTCTTTAATACTCATGAGTTTGATTATTCTGACTAAGGTTCAGTGAGTTCCTAGATCTCTCAGTTTATCGTTTTCCTCAATTTGGGAATATTTTTGGCAATTATTTCTTCAAATATTTTTGCCAGACCATCCAGGATTCCAGTTACTATACATTAGACTGCATGCCATACTGATACTCTGTTAATTATTTTTTTAATCTTTTGTATTTCTGTGTATCCATTTGGATAGTTTGGTTGGCTGGCTGGTTGGTTGGTTGGTTGTTTGGTTGGTTTTCCTTTTGAGACAGGGTTTTAATATGTCGCCCTACCTGGCCTGGAAGTCACTGTTCTCCTATGTCAGCCTCCTACTTGCTGGGATTACAGGGTTTGTACCACCACACCTGGATAGCTTAGTTCTTGAGATCACACAGAAACTCAGGTTCTTCCTCTCATGCTAGAAAAGTCCCATACCATGTGATCTCCATCAGCAAGAACGGCGCTTTCTCGTGAACGCTACATCTGTTAGAGGGATAGAAAGTGCTGAAGGCATCTTCCTTAGAAAAACGTGATCTGAAAGTTTCATATATAATTTCTACTTGTGTCCCTCTGGCCAAAACATAGTCATGTGGCAATAGTAACTGCAAGAAATGTTGGAAAAGACATGGGGTTTTATTAGCAAAAGGAGGCGAAGACAGGACAGTTTGCACTCTCTGCTCTAGTGAATGGGTTTGCACATCTTTTCCTATGTTTGATGTCCATTTGTATTTCTTGTGTTTTGTAAACAGTTCATCTCCCCTGTCCATTTTTATTTTGGATTATTTTTCTTGTTCTGTCAATTTGTAGATACTTTTTACATAGTAAGGGAAATTACTTGCTTTCTCTATGACATGCTGCATGCTTTTCTTGGCCATTATACTCTAATTTTATTCTTCATAGCTTTTCAATAATAATCAAAGCTGTTATGTGAAACAAAAATTACTCTAAAGACCATATATTCTCTTTTCACCAGATAACCCCAGCTATAACAAATTATGTAACTGACAAACTAGGGAAAAAATTTGTAGAACCTCCACCATTTGATTTGACAAAGAGTTACTTGGATTCAAACTGCACCATTCCCTTAATTTTTGTGCTGTCACCAGGAGCAGATCCTATGGCCAGTAAGTGCATATTATAAATTTTTAAGAAATTGTAATTAAAATATTTTGTTCAATACCAACTTATTATATGATTGTAAGTCAGTTTGTAAATTTGTGTTTATACAGAAAGATTGCTAGAATTTTCTATGATAAAACACATATACCCAGAAATTATAAGGCATACTTTATAATTCTAGAGTAAAAAGTGGGATCATTTTTCAGGCCTGCTGAAGTTTGCAAATGATAAATCTATGTCTGGAAATAAGTTTCAAGCCATTTCACTGGGACAGGGACAAGGACCAATTGCAACAAAAATGATTACAGCAGCAGTAGAAGAAGGAACCTGGGTTTGCCTACAGAATTGTCACCTTGCTGTCTCTTGGATGCCCATGTTGGAAAAAATATGTGAGGATTTTTCCACAGAAATCTGTAATTCGTCTTTTAGGCTTTGGCTTACAAGCTATCCATCTCCAAAAGTAAGTTTATTTCTTATAGAGTTCAGTACATTATTTAGCTGTCTGATATACTACATATCTTAATTGAATTTTAGATGCTTAACATTAGAGATTTTAAAAATATTTCTGGAGTCCTCTACCCATTTTGTAACCTGTTAGTATATGCATTTTAGGCTCGGGGTTCCTATAGTTTATAATGCTTTCCATTTATTTTGTCTTAGTTCCCAGTAACAATTCTACAGAATGGAGTAAAAATGACTAATGAACCTCCTACAGGTCTCCGGCTAAATCTCCTTCAATCATATCTCACTGATCCAGTTTCTGATACTCAGTTTTTCAAGGGATGCCAGGGAAAAGAACTGGTAATACTCAGCTTCTGAAACTTTAAGCTTTGTTTTTTTTACAGTGATTAAATATGTTATTAGGAATTTTATGTTATATATTTTTAAACTTTATGTATTTCCTAACCAGACAGAAATCCTTCCTATCTTGCTTATTTTATTCCCAATAGTTTTGTTCTGCTTACAACATAATAGACACTGAATTTTCTTTTTTTTTTTTCTTCATGTTAATGTTGAGGTTTGAGCTCAGGGTCATTTGCTTGCTAGGTAAGCACTTTGCCACATGAGCCTTGCCTCCAGCCTTTTTTGCTTTAGTTATTTTTCAGGTAAGGTCTTCTGCTTTGTGCCCAACCAGCTGCAATCCAACTACCTATGCCTCCTTAAGTAGCTGAGATTACAGATGTGAACCAAAAAAATATATTTGAATGAATATAACTTGTTTTGTAAACCAAAGCCCAACAGTTTTGATTAAGACACAAGAGCCAAGCACCAGTGGCTCACACCTGTAATCCTAGCTACTCAGGAGGCAGAGATCAGGAGGGTCATGGTTCAAGGCCAGCCCAGACAAGTAGTTCACGAGAATCTATCTCAAAAATATTCAGTACAACAAACCTACAGCCAGGATTATACTTAACGGAGAAAAATTAAAACCATTCCCTCTAAAATCAGGAACCAGACAAGGATGCCCACTATCTCCACTCCTATTCAACATAGTACTGGAATTCCTAGCCAGAGCAATTAGGCAAGAAGAAGGAATAAAAGGAATACAAATAGGTAAAGAAACTGTCAAAATATCCCTATTTGCAGACGACATGATCCTATACCTTAAAGACCCAAAAAACTCTACTCAGAAGCTTCTAGACATCATCAATAGCTATAGCAAGGTAGCAGGATATAAAATCAACATAGAAAAATCATTAGCATTTCTATACACTAACAATGAGCAAATGGAAAAAGAATGTATGAAAACAATTCCATTTACAATAGCCTCAAACAAAATCAAATACCTAGGTGTAAACCTAACAAAAGATGTGAAAGACCTCTACAAGGAAAACTATACACTTCTGAAGAAAGAGATTGAGGAAGACTATAGAAAGTGGAGAGATCTCCCATGCTCATGGATTGGTAGAATCAACATAGTAAAAATGTCATACTCCCAAAGTAATCTACATGTTTAATGCAATTCCCATCAAAATTCCAATGACATTCATTAAAGAGATTGAAAAATCTACTGTTAAATTTATATGGAAACACAAGAGGCCACGAATAGCCAAGGCAATACTCAGTCAAAAGAACAATGCAGGAGGTATCACAATACCTGACTTCAAACTATATTACAAAGCAATAACAATAAAAACAGCATGGTACTGGCACAAAAACAGACATGAAGACCAGTGGAACAGAATAGAGGATCCAGATATGAAGCCACACAACTATAAGCAACTTATCTTTGACAAAGGAGCTAAAAATATACGATGGAGAAATAGCAGCCTCTTCAACAAAAACTGCTGGGAAAACTGGTTAGCAGTCTGCAAAAAACTGAAACTAGATCCATGTATATCACCCTATACCAAGATTAACTCAAAATGGATCAAGGATCTTAATATCAGACCCCAAACTCTTAAGTTGATACAAGAAAGAGTAGGAAATACTCTGGAGTTAGTAGGTATAGGTAAGAACTTTCTCAATGAAACCCCAGCAGCACAGCAACTAAGAGATAGCATAGATAAATGGGACCTCATAAAACTAAAAAGCTTCTGTTCATCAAAAGAAATGGTCTCTAAACTGAAGAGAACACCCACAGAGTGGGAGAAAATATTTGCCAATATACATCAGACAAAGGACTGATAACCAGAATATACAGGGAACTTAAAAAACTAAATTCTCCCAAAACTAATGAACCAATAAAGAAATGGGCATGTGAACTAAACAGAACTTTCTCAAAAGAAGAAATTCAAATGGCCAGAAAACACATGAAAAAATGCTCACCATCTCTAGCAATAAAGGAAATGCAAATTAAAACCACACTAAGATTCCACCTCACCCCTGTTAGAATAGCCATCATCAGCAACACCACCAACAACAGGTGTTGGCGAGGATGCGGGGAAAAAGGAACCCTCTTACACTGTTGGTGGGAATGTAGACTAGTACAACCACTCTGGAAAAAAATTTGGAGGCTACTTAAAAAGCTGGACATCGATCTACCATTTGATCCAGCAATACCACTCTTGGGGATATACCCAAAAGACTGTTACTCCAGAGGCACCTGCACACCCATGTTTATTGCGGCACTATTCACAATAGCCAAGTTATGGAAACAGCCAAGATGCCCCAGCACTGACGAATGGATTAAGAAAATGTGGTATCTATACACAATGGAATTTTATGCAGCCATGAAGAAGAACGAAATGTTATCATTCGCTGGTAAATGGATGGAATTGGAGAACATCATTCTGAGTGAGGTTAGCCTGGCCAAAAGACCAAAAATCGTATGTTCTCCCTCATATGTGGACATTAGATCAAGGGCAAACACAACAAGGGGATTGGACTATGAGCACATGATAAAAGCGAGAGCACACAAGGGAGGGGTGAGGATAGGTAAGACACCTAAAAAACTAGCTAGCATTTGTTGCCCTTAATGCAGAGAAACTAAAGCAGATACCTTAAAGCAACTGAGGCCAATAGGAAAAGGGGAACAGGTACTAGAGAAAAGGTTAGATCAAAAAGAATTAACCTAGAAGGTAACACCCACGCACAGGAAATCAATGTGAGTCAATGCTCTGTATAGCTATCCTTATCTCAACCAGCAAAACCCCTTGTTCCTTCCTATTATTGCTTATACTCTCTCTACAACAAAATTAGAGATAAGGGCAAAATAGTTTCTGCTGGATGTTGAGGGGGGGAGCGGGAGGGGGTGGAGTGGGTGGTAAGGGAGGTGGTGGGGGCATGGGGGAGAAATGAACCAAGCCTTGTATGCACATATGAATAATAAAAGAAAAATGAAAAAAAAATATTCAGTACAAAAAAGGGCTGGTGGAGTGGCTCAAGTGGTAGTGCCTGACTAGCAAGTGTGAGACCCTGAGTACCACCAAAAAAAAAAAATGTATTTTTACATCATCTGTTCATATTTCAACAAATACGTGTTAGGTACTTTCCTGAATGCTAGCTATAAAGCAACAAGAACAAAATAGATACAAGGAAATCTACCTTCATGGAACTTAAATTATAGTGATAGTGTTTTAGCATATGAATAATATTTTTCAGTGTATTCAGGTAAAACAGTTTTGCACATGGTATTGGGGACTTCTGGGAGTCCCAATAACTAGCAGTGATTTTTCCTGTCTATATTTTTAATAGTTTAGAAACAAGAAAAATTATAAACATAGGAGAACTAAGTTATAACCTTAATTATTGATATAGGCTACATTGGAA